GGCAAACATGATGAAGGGATGGAATAAGAGTGTAATGATGAAAATTAAAAAAAAATTCTAAGAAAGGAATTGATAAGATAAGTTGGTTGGAAAAAGAAAAAAAAGAATGTGAAGAGAATTTATTGAGGCTGGAGACTAGAAGAAAACCCTGTGCTAGATTTAGGGTATATTTTGATCTATTAGAAGAAATTGTATCTCAAAAAAAATTTTTTTTTAAAGATTTTATTTATTTATTTGTCAGAGAGAGAGGGAGAGAGAGCGAGCACAGGCAGACAGAATGGCAGGCAGAGGCAGAGGGAGAAGCATGCTCCCCGCCGAGCAAGAAGCCTGATGCGGGACTCGATCCCAGGACGCTGGGATCATGACCTGAGCCGAAGGCAGCTGCTTAACCAACTGAGCCGCCCAGGCATCCCTCAAAAATTTTTTTTAGAAGAAAAAATCCTATATGTATACAAAAAATAAACTTAGATACAAGAAAGGATAAAATATGACTATAATAATGAAGGTTTAAAAAGATTTATTTTTTAATTTTTTTTAACATTTTTTTAAAAATTTATTTATTTGACAGAGAGAGATCACAAGTAGACAGAGAGGCAGGCAGAGAGAGAAGGGGAAGCAGACTCCCTGCCGAGCAGAGAGCTCGATGCGGGGTTCGATCCCAGGACCCTGAGATCATGACCTGAGCCGAAGGCAGAGGCCCAACCCACTGAGCCACCCAGGGACCCCTAAAAAGATTTTTTTAGAAAGGTATTATTAAGATAAACTAATTTAAAAATTTTAAAAAAGGAAAGAGAAAAAGTTAAAAAATTAGAATACGAATAAAATAAAATTTAGAAAATTCAATTAACTTTGCAGGACTAAAGAATCATGGGGCAAAAGCCATGAATTCCATGCTTTGCTTTCTCGTCCTCTGGAATTCTGCTGTTCTCCTTGATCAGTGAGCTTGGTCTTGGCTGGATGTTCTTGCTGATCTTCTGGGGGAGGGGCCTGTTGTGGTGATTCTCAAATGTCTTTGCCCGAGGCAGAATTGCAATGCCTATGCCAGGGGCCGGGCTAAGTAATCTGCTCCGATTCATTCTTGGGACTTCCCTGAATGCTTTCCATAGAGCTCTAGAGGCTGGGAATGAAAATGGCGGCCTCCCAATCTCCGGGCCAGAGGAACTGAGAGCTGGGGCCCCACTCCTCAGTGCACCCTCGGAGAAAATGGGTCAATCACTCCCATCTCCCTGATCTCTGGCCATGCTCTGGGCTCATCTGGCCTGTGACCGAGCATTTCTGTATCTGATGCGCAGCCTTGCCTGGAGTCTCGAAACCCAGCAGCAGATTCCTGCCTCCATAGGAGGAAGGTGGGTCTCTCTGAATCTGCCACTTGTGGGGTCCCTGCTTCAAAGAGTGGTCCAAATGTGCTGCAGATCATAGTTTATGGTAACCCTGAGGTGAGACCTCACCCCTTGGCTTTCTGTAGTCGGCTTCCACACTCTGATACCTGGGAGCTCTGCCATACTCAGACACCCCTGATTTTTCATGACCCCATGGGACCTGAGACCACAGTGTCCCTGGGGGGACTCCACCCCCACTTGGCCTCTGGAGTGATGTCTCTCTGTGGGGATTTTGTGCTCTGTTGCTCCACCACTTGCCAGGAGCCAGCCCCTTCCCCACAGTCTATCTTCTGATCACCTCAGATTCACTTCTCCACACATTCTACCTTTCAGAAAGTGGTTGATTTTCTGTTCCTAGAATTGCTGCTCCTCTTCTCTTCGATCTCCTGTTGAGTTTGTAGGTGTTCAGAATGGTTTGATAGCTATCTAGCTGAACTCCTGTGACCTGATGTCATTTCAGTCTGCTACTTCTCTGCCATCTTGCCTCTCTCCTTTAATATTTTCTTGATTCAAACCTAAACTTCCTCCACAGTAGTTAAAGGTTATTGCTCACATGTGCTAAAACAGAATGTGTGGGGTGGCTGGGTGGATCCATTGGTTAAGTGTCCAGCTCTTGATTTTGGCTCAGGTCATGATCTCAAGGTTGTGAACTCAAACCTCACACTGGGTGTGGAGTCTGCTTAAGATTCTTTCTCTCCTTGTGTCCTTCTCCCACACTCTCTCCCCCTCAAACAAAACAAAACATAACATAACAAAACAAAATAGAATGTGCATTCCATTGGTAGATTCTATATATCAGAAGGATTACAAAGCCTAAGTACCTTATTGTAATTTTCTGCTGAAATGGAAATAATGCTGACTAGGTCTAGAATATAATATGCTAATCACTAGTTTTGAAAGACCAAAGGGGAGAGGCCAAGTTAAGGTGAGTTTGAGTTGGTTTGTTTGGGAATAGGGCTTAGTAACCAAAATACACAGATTGGGTTTTCTGGTCAAGATTATATAGGTAGTTTGGAGGCAAGTAAGAGGTAGAAACTTGAGTCCAGGGTGAAATGTCTAAGAGCCATGGGCTGAGCACAAGCACCCTTCCCCTGAATTGTCTATGTTAGGCAGAGGGCAGGGCGTGGATTTTGGTGTCCTGGAGGATTGGTGATATGTGAGGGAGAGCTGAACACAGCCACAGCAGGCACTGCATTCCGATAAGGGCCTGCAGAAATTTTACTCCATTTCAGGGGGAACCTTAGAGATATAAAGGCATAAAGGACAGATTTCAGACTGGACACATGAGGTGGATGCCAAGTGGGAGGCTATTGTTGGCTTAGGACTCTGTCTACTTCAGAGCATGTAGACAGTGGGAAATCTATTCAGTAGACTATTGTTAAGCTTCACCTGATTATAATGGGGAATGGCTGACAGTTTGATGCCAGTCTGGTTGGTTTTTGGATCAGGATCTGAGTTGGGCAGCCTTTAGTTAGTGGTGGTCATGATGAACCTGTGATGAGATTGTGTCAGGAACAGGAAAGGAGAGGTTCTATTTTAAGCAGTTAAAAAGGCAGATTTTGGAACCATTGGTGCTATGTTCAAAGCTAAATGCCAATATTTCTTATTTGAGTTAACTAATATCTCTGAAGTTTATTTATTTATTTTTAAAAATTTTATTTATTTATTAGAGAAAGAGCACAAACCAAGGCTATAGCAGGCAGAGGGAGAAGCAGGCCTTCTGCTGAGCAAGGAGCCTGATGTGGAACTTGATCCCAGGACTCTGGGATCATGAGCTGAGCTGAAGGCAGACAACTGACTGAGCCACCCAGGCATCCCATATCTCTGAACTTTAGTTTTAGTTTTCTCTTTGGGATAAAAATGCCATATTCAAAGGATGGTTGTAAAAATAAAATGTCTTATCCACTAAAACTTTCTCTGATGATAGAAATCTTTTATAATGTCCAAGTGATAGCTACTAGCCATATGTGGCTACTGTGCACTTGAAATTTAAGTAGTAAAAACCAATAACTGAATTTTATTTAGTTTTAATTAATTTAGATAGGCACATTTAGCTAGTAGCTAGTATATTGGACAATAGTTGTAAATGATAGCTATTATCGGGACTACTTAAAATATAAAAAGTTAGCTTTTTAGAATTTCCTTGACTGATATATTCTTTCAGTTACTCATTTTTGTCTTGTCATATTTTGTTTGGTGTGCAATGAAATATATAACAATGTTTCTATATTGGAGAAAAAAAATGAAAATTTTAATAAACATACAAGAGACCATATATACGTACAAGATATATAATATACTTTAATCTTAATCACAAAATAATTATACCAAGTGTAGAGGACTTCAGAAAAGCAAATGTTTGTGTTGTAATGAGCACTAGGTGTTATATACAGCTAATGAATCGTTGAGCACTACATCAAAAACTAATGATGTACTATATGCTGGCTAACTGAACATAAAAAAAAAGAGAAAAGCAAATGCTCCCTTCAGCTCTCAGTATTTTCAGGATGAATGAACCACTTGCACTGGTCATTGAAGCATGTTACATGTTTTGGACAGGTAGAGAGAAAAGAAAGAAATTTCAGATGGAGGCATGGTGAAAATAAAACTAGTAGAATAGAAACCTCCAAGATGTGATCAGAGCTCAGTGAGTAGGCTTATTTTCTGAAGTATGGAGGTGGTTTAGAAGGTGAAATTAAGCTAGGAAAGTGGTTTGGAAGATGATATCCACCATATCATATCAATATAGTTGCCTTCGAATTGATAGCTAAAAAGTGTGGGATTTATCTTCCAGGCAGTAAAAATTAAGAATTACTGATGTATTTAGAGCCAAAGAGAAATATAATCAAAATATTGTTTTAAGAAAGTAACCCTGGTAGATGTGGAAGAAACAGAGATATGAGTTAGGAAGCTTAAACTAGTATGGACAAGAGGTAAAAGGTTTCTGAACTAGAAGGGTAGCCATACAAATGACACCCCAAGCAGGTAAAACTGACAGATATTGCTGTCGATGCATTGGAAGGAGGCGAGTCAAGACTCAATCATAGCATTGGCTGGAGTGAGAAAGAGACTTAAGTATAAAGGATATGATAAGAGATAGGGATAGATGTATTATAGTAAAAATACCGAGGTGAATTGTAACATTTCATGGAGAAACAGAGTCACTTGATGGTTACTTGACTACCAAGAAATTTCTAGGGGAAATAGTCACTATCTATATATTTTTGTGATGCATTGAAAAATTAGTCTGAACCAACACTTTGAAAACGTTAGTTTTTTTTTTAATATAAGGAATGAAGCACTTTTAATATGTCAACAAACACATGATCTGTAGGAAACTCAAATATAATGATAATCAACAATGACGCCATGATTGTAACTAGTACCTCCAGTTACTAGTTTGTAACTCCAGATTGTAACTAGTAACTCCAACTCTCCGCCTTGTCTTCAATCTCTGCTAGCTTTATCCCTATTTTTTTTTTAGAGTGAACAAAAGCAGACACAATAAACAACTAGTCTGAGAACTTGAATCCAGTATCATGTGGTCTGGATAATAAGGTTTTATTGATTATTACCAATAAGTTGGTAATAGACTAAAAAAAATTTTGGTTCTTTTCTTTTTTATGAGAATTGGAAGTGGAAAGTTATATTGGTATCAGCCATTTTCTTCTCGTAATCTTCATTAAATCTCTCATTCTGAGCAACAGTAAAGTGATTCTTCCAGTCTCCAACTGTCCCTGAAATTGTCATGTGGGAGAGAGTCAGTTTACCTTTCTCTACTCTCCTGTTTCTGTGTGAATTGTTCTACTCTACCTTTCAAGGAGCGCAATATTGGACAAAACATTTCTGTTGCTAACCTATCAATTTCATTCTGAAGGGAAGAAGAATTTCTTATCTGATTTGTGGGAGAGGGAGAGCCCATTATCTACTGATGCACATTAATGGGGGAAATAAAACTACCACAATTAAAACAGCAAGCCTGTGGGGGATATCTTGTCTTTTTCCCCTGCCCTCTTTGGATGTCAAAGTTTGGTAGGTGCTTATGCCTGTAGTTTCCATTTATAGGCTCACTGAGAGGGTCTTGTATGTGGGAGAATTCAAGGTGTAGTTTTGAGGAAGAAAACTAAAAAGGAAGACCCCCCAAATTCTCCAATTGCAATCCTTGTTACTTTTCCACAGATGTTTTCTTCCCCGTTAGTGCTTAGCATCATCTGTTATCCTGGGTATAATTGTTTATTTTGTTTGTGGCTATAATATAACATTCATGAGGGAAGAAATTTCTGTGTTTTATTCACTGCTCTGAGCATTACCTAGAACAGTGCCTGACACATATTAGCCCCTCAGTAAGTATTTTTGAATGAATAAATCTGATAGCATAGAGCCCTTATAAACCCATTATAAAATGGATTCTTTGCCCCATCTGACTTAATTCAATGTTTTCACCTTATCAGCCAGATCTCTGGAGAGAACAGGAGGATGAGGAATTGGATGTACACACCACACCTCACTCTCCAATTGTTTTCATTTCATTCCCGGTGTTCTACTTCTTTTTCCAGAATCATTTATTATAGATCTTATTTTTCTTAGCCACAGAAAACTCCCTCAAATCTGTGAAAGATTGGACAATTCTTTAGGATTATGACCAAAAAAACCATAAATACCTTTTCTCATGAATGGAGAAACAGAGTGGTTCATGATTGTAGTAGGAATTGATGAATAGTTTGCCATTGGATTCTGCTTCATAACATCAAATGAAGTGTGAAGGACAATTTTATCTAGGACTTCATCATCTAGGTTTTTCCCAATAAATTCTGCCAACTTCTGAATTTCATGCTTTAGATTCTATGATGAGAGTCAAAAGAAAAGTGAAGATATGATATAAGATAATTGGTTTAAAAATATTGAAATGAGTTAATAACAGTAATCAGTAACATGTCATGAGTTAAAATTTAAACAAACATCTTAGGGGTACCTGGGTGACTCAGTCAGTTAAGCATCCAACTTTTGATTTTGGCTCAGGTCATGGTCTCAAGGTTGTGAGATTGAGTCCCATGTTGGGCTCCATGCTTTGTGTGGAGTCTGCTTGAGATTTTCTCTTTCACCCTCTGCCCGTCCCCCTGCTCTAATGCAATCTCTCTCTCTCAAATAAATAAATAAAATCTTAAAAAAAAATCTCTCACAAGTACTCAATTTAACATGAGGACCCACACTGTTCTAATTTTTATTAACTGGAATTACTAAGTTTTTCTTGCTCTAACATGTAAACAAAAACTGAGTGGTATTAGTGAAACATTTACTATAAAATAACATGCAGTGCATGGAGAATGCTTCACTAAGAGTTATGCCTAAGTGTCCTATGCAAGTCAGTTATGGGAGGAATCTTGGTCTGTTAGATGTCTTACAGGGAGAGTCCATAGACTGATGATAAGAAGAAAGACATTGCAGAAGCATAGGGTCAGACAATTTAAGGAGGCGCTCTCCTGTTTCTGACATTGATAGAAATATCCCAGACCATCTCAGTCATGGCAATAAGTGGTAGGAAAAGAATGACAGATGACTATTTTGCACCCATCAGGTACTCAAGAGGCACCCATGGCTAGTAAGTCTACTACCCAGCATATCCAGGTGTTTATGCATTCCTGAGAGGAGCTCAGTTCCAATGTTTCCTTATCAGAGGGACACACCACCCTGGGAAGCTGTGGCTATGGGAAGTCCCTATCTCTGGAAGGAGTGTTAGGGGAGTGCACGTGGAAAGGTTTAGCCTGACAACTGTGTCTTCTGCTTTAAAAGCTTGGATATCAAAAGTAGTACTTAATTTATTTGGCCTCACATAGACTAGGAATCAGCATGAGTGGTGAGAATATTGTGCTTTGAGTGACTAGTCAGGGCACATTCCAGAACATGATGACAGAAATACTTAAAAGGGCTCTAGGGACTCTGATGTTAGAACTACCAGTTCAATAAAATTTCTTGCTGGAATTCATAATACTTCAGGATGCACCTTGTTAAAAGACTGTCATTCTTGGTGACATAGCCTTACTTTCCCACTGCTATGATACATATGATAGACAAGTATCACCTACATGGAGTTTTCTTATTCTGAGTTTAATAGCACCCTTCCTTCTGTGGCTTCCCCAGTTTGTCATATCTACCCATGAAAGGGGAACTCTCCCCTCATAGCATACAACTCCCTGCCATATTTCTTAACTGAGTATCTAAATCTAGAATTCTGTGAATAGATAACTCTCAGCACTAAAATAGGGATATGTCTCACATTTTCTGTTTGAAAAAACCATAGAGTGGAATCTAAGCAACAACAACTAAAATCATAGATATGGAGAAGAGATTGACGTTGCCAGAAGTGGGCAGTGGGGGGTGGGCAAAATGGGTGAAGGTGGTCAAAAGGTACAAACTTCCAGTTATGAAATAGGTATATCCTTGGGACGTAATGTACAGCATGGTGACTATGGTTAATAACACTGTATTGTATATTTGACAGATGCTAAGAAAATAGATCTTAAAAATTCTCATCACAAGAAAAAATTTTGTAACTATGTGTTGGTGATAGATGTCAGCTGGACTTGTTGTGGTGCTCATGTCATAATAAATACAGTTACTAAATCATGTTGTACCTGTAACTAATACAATGTTAAATGTCTATTATATCTCAACTAAAAAAATAGAAAAATTATTGTTTTACTCTTTTGATATTCTGTAGAAACACCTCGATGAGGCCCAGCAGTGACTGAACTTAGGAGTTGTACGTCTAAACTAATGTGCCCACAAATCCCCTGGGCATCTTATAAAGTGCACATTCTGACTTAACAGACCTGATGTAGTCTCTTAGAGCCCCATGCAGCTAATCTGTGAAGCACCTTTTTAGTACCAAGACTTCCAGTGATAAATTGAAGAACAAAGACTGTAATTTTTGTAGATCTCTGTATTTAGTTGTCACAGATAGTATTTAGCATAATGATACATCAGTATATATACTATATATGCTATATAGTATAATGATACTATATCATTATATACTAGCTCCTATCAACATCATCTTATTTAGTCCTCATTGTAGATCTTGGAAGAGTATATGTTACTATCTAGTTTTTGCATTTAAGGAAACTAAGTAAGTCTCTATGATGTTAAGTGTCCTCCACAAGAATACTTGCCAGTAGGTGGTAAAGCCAGAACTTGAATTCAAGAATTTTGAATCTAAATCATTAGTATTTTCCATTACACTCTAATTTCTTAAGTCATTTCTTGAGATTATGATGTTTCTCACGTACTAATGAAAAAACCCAAAATGTACTAGAAAATGTTTTCCTTTCTAAACAGAATTTTAGAGTAGACATGAAAGGGGAAAAAAGGTATCACTCATACTTTGCCTATCTGGAAAAGGTGTACCATACCGGATATGTTCTGGGGAGCTCCAGGAATTGGAGATGAAACTATGTGATACATAAACTCATGATATGCCATGTGTGCTTTGATGAATGGACAGCAGCAGCCAATGAAATGCAGCATTTCTTGTTTCAATCTGTGGGTCCCCAGTGTGGTGCATACATTATGACCTAAATGTCTTATGGTCCATTAAAGCGTTGCCCCTCACCTTCTTCAGGTCCTCATAGAAGAGGTAGAGAATGCGATGTTGGTCTTTGGCTTTCCACCATCCTTTCACATGGTCATGCCAAGAACCCCAGCACACTGCAACGAGGGATGAAAAATGGTAATGAATCATAGAAGCCCAACAAACAAATATTCCACTGAAAGCAGAGTTCCTAAAGAGAGGGAGAATATACTGATGATTTCTTCACAGTAAAGCAAGCAGAGCCCTGGCTGGTCTAAGGAAATGATTCTTTCCTTTTAGAGTGAGGATTTTGAGAAAAGGAAGAAACAAAAGCTGAATTCTCTTACCCTTCCCAGCCAGAAAACTCTCAAAATACTCTTCCCAGGTTCCTGGAGCAGGAAGGGCTTTATTCATTCTTTGGAAATGGTAGTAAGATACCATATTGTCCTTTGGATTTCTTGCTACATAGATTATCTAGGAATGGCAGGAGGAGGGAAAAAAACAAAAGTAGGATTAGACTTATATGTAGTTATTGCCCACACAAATTATGTTCAAGTGGCTACATTCCATACAGATGAGATTTTCTGATGCGGTGTTCTTGTGATCATGGTCTTTGCAGGACTTGAGAAAGAATCAGATCAATCTGCATATTGATTATTGTGAAGAGATCTGTTCTTTAATAAGTGAAGTGGTATTTAAAAAAGATTTTTTATTTATTTGTTTCTGAGAGAGAGATAAAGAGAGGTGAGGGGTAGAGGGAAAGGAAGAGAATCTTAAGCAGACTCCACACTGAGCATGGAGCTCCCAATGTGGAGCTTGATCTAAAGGCCCTGAGATCATAACCTGAGCTGAAACCAAGAGTCAGATGCTTAGCTGACTGAGACACCCAGGTGCTCCAACAAGTAAAGTGATTTAAGAGGAAACTGAAGACCACTCTAAGGAGTAAACTGTGAATTCCTTTTTCTTTTTACCTTACAGTTTTTTTCTATGAAGGATGGTGGCAGCAGCTGGATGGGAAGATGTGTTTTCAGGGTCCGTGGTGAGGGCATTTCATTAGCTTGGTTCAAACCTGTAAAATTGATTTTTGATCACTTTCCACCATTTGTGGTTGCTTTAGAATCTTGCTGCTTCAATTGTTACTATTTTAGGAACAATTGAACAATTCAAGTCACCTGTGCAAGCACTATAACTGTAAGTTTGATCTGAGAGAATATTTCTAGCCTATGAATGATTTTTTAAAGATCTGGAATTGTTTTTAACCATAACAAACAAGAAACTAGGTAAATAAGAATGCAAAAAATTCATACTCTTCCACCATGAAATTATCTCACTTGGGCTCACCCTTATGGAATAAAATTAATTTCTTTTTTTTAAAAGATTTTATTTATTTATTTGACAGAGAGAGAGATCACAAGTAGGCAGAGAGGCACGCAGAGAGAGAGGGGGAAGCAGGCTCCTCGCTGAGCAGACAGCCTGATGCGGGGCTCGATCCCAGGACCCTGAGATCATGACCTGAGCCGAAGGCAGAGGCTTAACCCACTGAGCTACCCAGGCGCCCCAGGAATAAAATTAATTTCTAATGGAGAATAAAAACTTAACTTACTTTTGTATAAGCAGTAACTCCATTAGAAAATGTCTGGAGTACAAAAATGGCCAGACATAGTTAAAAAAAAATGCAAAGTCACAGAATTCATTAGTAATTGTTTGAATGCCTAGAATTTAATTTTTTTCTAGTTTTTCAAGGTGGTTGTATTAATTCTTATGTCTTCCCTATTAATTTTTTTCAGCTTGACTGCCTAAAATTTTGAGAGGGCTATGTGGTAGTAAAAATCCTAGGTGTTTATTTGGGCCTTAGTCAAGTGTGGCTATTTGAAACTTACCAGATCCTATGGATGGATGTATCCATTCGATGAAAGGAAATCGTATATGAGTAGGTGCTCGTTGACTTTTCTCAATATTGCCTTCATTTTGTATTAAGTCCACTATCTCCTGAGTCCATGTTGTTCCTTATTCCATTTGTAAGATGAAGATGCATAGACATTTAGTGTATTACATTTCTAAAAATATGATTATACTTTTCAGAACACCTCTCTGAATTTTAAAGCTAGGTTTATACTGGAATTTAGAAAACATCATTTTTTATTTATGTCTTGTGTTATCATAATGTGAATTTTTATACAAAGGCTGCAATTTGTTGTGGATATTATATTGGTAAATAGTTCACTTTTTTGCCTGTCATAACCATTAATTTGGATTGTTACCCAATTGATGTAGCTGCATTGTTCTAAGAAAGACAGAATGAAAGGTCTTTCTCACTTGATTTTAATCTCTGGAGAGTAATCACTATGTGGTTTTCAGGCTGTTTCCCAAGCACATAGTATGGGACTGCCACATAGGAGGTATTTAATATGTGTTGGTTCCATGAACAAATGAATGATTAGTACCTGGCCTTGATATTAATCATTAGTACTTAGATTTCATTTTCAACTTTTTCTCAATTTTTCCCTTATCTCAGGGACTAGAAGGTTAAAAAGTGTATTCCCTAGACTCCTTTACCGCTAAGATTTTGAATACTATTTAGACACTGCTAATGAAATGCATTGGAAAGTGGAAGAGTGGTAGAGGTCATTCTTTCCGAGGTAGTGACACTAATGGTAACTCCAATAGGTAGACATTTTGCATAGGCCATACCACATTTTGCCGCCTAGTTCTTGAACCCGAGAAGCTACTGGAAGAAGGGCCTCTTTCTCCAGCCTCAGTTTCTGTGTGCTGCCTGATTCTAGACTAATATAGTTCCTACCCACTGAATCTTCATACTTTGACGAAGAACTGTTGTACTAGGTATTTTGACAAATCCATGTTGGGAAGATAGTTGACAATTTTAGGATGGTTCTCTGAATCCTGGATCTGGGCTTACCTTCCTGCAGTCTATGACACCAGCCCTCATTACAGTTGCCTTTTCTCATACTGTCAATTCAGTGCTTTTAGGTCTACAGGAAGGGCGTAAGTCAGGGAGCAATGAAAAAAATTACTTTTTATATCCTAGACGAGTTAGGTCTCTAAGAATTTCTGGCACCAACTTTTTCATAACAGGGTAAAGGACCAATATTTCTTTAGCTATCTAATCAAAGAGAGAGCTGTTTACACTGATTTGATGTATTCATTGAATTTACAGCTGTTTAGAGTTAGCTGACTTTGGGGCAGGCTGACATGTTGCTACAGGTTTGGAGATAAGTGGAATGACTTCTCAATTCATCCTCTAAAAGTCAGTGATTTTAGAATATATTTTTCTCTTGGCTCATTCCCAGAGTATTTAATTATTCTTTTAAAAATTTAGGTATAAACCACATTTTTCATCTATGCTTTTTCTTCTTCCCATTAATCAATATAACCTTTATTAATGGGTAAGGTTTTAGTGATGATTAAATGTTACATTAGCTGGCAAGCAGGGTTTTTTTTTTTTTTTTTTTTTTTGAGTGTGTTGTTTGGATCATTCAAGTCCTATTAATTCTAACCCATGAAAACTTTAAACAAACCAAGTCCTACTGGTCACATTTGGCAGGTGGAGAAAAGATTAATTTTTAAATATTATACTTAAATGATGTAACCATGTACTGAAGTGATGACAAAGTAGAATTGTGGACAAAATTAAAACTGTGAGATGTGATTCTCACCAGTGATGACTTTTATGTTCACATTAGGAAAGTTTAATCCTGAACAGGCTCCTGATGAGTAAGATTAGAAAATTAGGAACAATATGAAAGTGATGGATAAATGGGAGTCTAAAGCTGCCTTCTGCTGGCAGAGTCTTTTATCAGGATCATTAGAGATAAAGACTCAAAAGGGGTTTGAACATACAATCTAAGAAAATGCTAGGTTTAGATTTTTTGGTGTGTGTGCACAAGTGTATGTTTCAATATGAACGTTTGTGTGTGGGTGTGTATGCGGAGTTATTGACAGGGAGCTTGGTTTTGCAAAGACCAAATGTATATGCAATCTGGCTGTGAATTGAATAGTATATTTTTAGAATACCTGCAGATATGCACAAATATCTGCAGAGAACTATTTCTCCCTGGTCATCCTCAAATTTTTATGATACAGTGGCTGGACTCAAGAAATCTAACTTCTGTAGCAACTTTTGTTAAACTGATTACTGAAACAAGGAAATAGGTTCAAAACATACCACAAAGGAAGATAGAAATCAAAAGAGTAATTCTTAGACCCTGAATTGGGAGATTTTGAGGGCTTCTGGAGGGTGCTGAGGTGAAATTAGCATTGTAAGAGCAAAGCGCCCCTAATTCTTCACCTTTTGGGGAAATCCCTTTTGTAGCTTACACACAGACAAAGCAGCGGGTTTTGTTTTTTTTTTTTTTTTTTACGGGATCTGCACTAAGAGCCTGCATTGGGAACAAACAAATCAACAATCTAGTCCGTTACTTCTTGGCTGTTTGAGTCACTCCTGGGAAAGTAAAAAAATATGTGCATTATAAGAAGAATTAAATTCTTAAAATTTTGTGCATTATTTTAGTATTTTTTTTCTGTAGTTTCAGTTTCCACAAGTGTTTTGACTTAGCCATATCACTCTGTCCAGTAAACAATTTTCCAACCCAGATCAGTTTCTTTATTTCATTACTAATATTTTGCCCACTCACCTTCCTAATTCTCTTCTTCACCACCCCCCTCCTTCCACCTACCTGCTTTAGGATAGGTGGCAATAAGAAGATCATCGGACTTGGCTTGGAAGTTCCAGATCTGGTCCCATGAGTCACAGGTAGGTGTGGGTTGAAGAATCCCCTTCACATAGTTGACAGTTACGCGCTCTGTTCCATCAAATGTATCATTCTTTGTTTTGTTTAAGGCCATTAGTGTCAGAAATGAGAGTCCTGCTCCAGAAAAATGTTACTACTCAATCTGCACAAAGCTGAGGTCTATTTATTGAACAGACAATGCAAAGCAGGCTGCAAGTTCTTCCTGTACAGTCTGGGGATGGCTGGCCGTCAAAGGGGAAAGCAGCTAGAGGTCTGCAGGCCCAAGTTCCAGGAAACTCAGAACTACTGTTTAGGCCTTTGTACCAAGGTGTTTTCTTAATAAGCTCCAGTGCTCCTCCCTGCCAAGCTATGAGGTAATACCAGAGGCCCTCCCAAATCCTGGCTGCAGGGTTGAGGTTCATGTTCAGTCCTGCTCTTCTGTGTCAGTTTAACAGGAGTTAGTGCTGTGTTGTTTATGTTTTTCATCTTTGTGTTTGTAAAATAATTCACAGATATTCGTTGTTTCTTCTGTTAATTTTAAGCTAATTAAAAAGTTACAGAGAATTTGCTCATGGAATTAGATAGCAGTATAGAATAACTTGCCTGAAAGGCTGAAGGGAAATGTGTCGGCTCTTGGCAAGAAGGTCCTAGATTTGAATCTTTTAGGACAAATATCTGGAAGGGTCAGTGTTGTTATTTTTAAGAGTAAAATAAAATATTCTCTATTACAGAAGCTTCTCTTCCTTTTGTAGGCTGTACAGTGTCAGTATCAAAACAGGCATGTCTCATTTAAAGCAAAAGAGTTGCGGACAACTCCTTGCTTTTTCCTTGGAACCGTTTCTGGTTCCCTCTTGAATTTTCTTCTCCTGTTTCAACCATTACTTCTTCTCTGCTGGCCACCTCTCGAACAAGACTAGATTCCTTTTATCTTTTTTTTTTTTTTTTTTTGTGATTTATTTTAGAGAGAGAAAAATAGAGTGAGCATGTGCACATGAGTGGGGAGGAGGGGTAGAGGGAGAGAATCTCAAGCAGACTCCCTGCAGCACGCAGAGATCTCAGAATCTCGAGACCATGACCTGAGCTGAAATCGAAAGTTGGATGCTTAACCCATTGACCCACCCAGGCCCCTCTCCTTTTAGTTTTTAACTGCTAAATATTATAGGTCACCCACCTAGTTTTCCTGTGTCTGACTGTGATGTAATAAAGAATATATCAGGTCTTTGTTTTTGGTTCCTTGCACAGAGTTTCAAAAACTCCTGGAAGTTCCTGAGTGACTGGAGTATCTTTCGTTATTCATAATGAGTTCCTTTAGACTATTCCTGAGTTTATGTTAATGAGGTTACTCCTGGTGGGCCCCTTAGATAGTTTCAGAGGACGGGCTGACCACACCCGAAAGATCCAGGAGGTATTAGAGGGTTGGAACTTTCAGTCCCATATCCAACCTCCAGCGAAAAGAAAGGGGCTAGAGACTGAGTCCAATCATGTGGCCAATGACAGAAGACCCCGGCAAAACTGTTCACTGAAGCTCAGTGGAGCTTCCTGGTTGGTGAACACATTGATGTGTTTGGAAGGTGGTACATCCAGATTCCATGGGGAGAAGGCAAAGCAGCTCTGTGTTCCGTCTCTGTCAAGAACTTGCCCTGGGCACCTCTTATTTGGCTGTTCCTGATCTGTATTTTTTAGGATAAAACTCTAACTGTAGGTATAGTGCTTTCAGTGAGTTCTGTAAATCACTCATTCTAGTGAATTGTTGAACTTAAGGGGTCATGGGAAACTCCAAATTTATAGCTGGTTTGTCAGAAGTGCAGATGGTCCCCAAGATTTGTGGCTGGCATCTAAAGTGGAGGCAGTTTTGTGAATAACTTTGTCCTTAATTTGGGGTGTGCACTAACTCTAAGTAGTTAGTGTCGAAACAATTGAATTGTAGAACACTCAATGGGTGTCAGAGAATTATTGTTGGAATATCTTTCTTGCCCTAGGCTTTTTCAGAATCCATTCTGTTTTGGGCAATCAGTAGTTTCACTTTTGCTTAAAACTCTTCCCAGCCAACCTTTTGTCTGTACCGTCATTTGCAAATATCTTCTCTCATTCCGTGGGTTGCCTCTTTGTTTTGTTGACTGTTTCCTTTGCTCTGAAGAAGCTTTTGATCTTGATGAAATCCCAAAAGTTCATTGGGAGGAGAAGGGAGTTGAGGGAAATTGGAAGGGGAGGTGAACCATGAGAGACTATAGTCTCTGAAAAACAATCTGAGGGTTTTGAAGGGGCGGGGGTGGGAGGTTGGGGGAGCCAGGTGGTGGGTGCATATTGCATGGAGCACTGGGTGTGGTGCAAAAACAATGAATTCTGTTACGTTGAAAAGAAAAAAAAAATGTACCTCAGGTTCTGAACTTCAAAAAAAAAAAAAAAAAATTCTTCCCAGCCAAACCTTCCCAGCATCCTAGGAGGGCCTTCATCTCCTACGGGACTGCAGCCAGGAAGGCCTTTGTTCTCATCTTGGCAGGCCCCCAGCTCCTTCCTGTGTCGAAGCTGCCTTTCTTCTGTTGATACTGTCTTGGCTATTGCCTGTTTGGTTCTTGTTTGGTTTTTTAGCTTCCTCCAAGTCTCTTTTTTTAATGTCTTCCTTCAATGTATCCTTTCTGGAGAGGCTTTCTCTGAATTTCAGTGTCGTCTGAACTAGGTCCCGTCTATTTCCTTACTTGTGGTACCTTCCTTTCCTTTAGAATGGCCATCAGAATTTAGTCTTGCTTGTTTACTTGTTAACATTTTCTGCCTCCTATCCTATACTCTTCGATGTGTAAAACAGGGCCTGGGCTCTGTCTTGTCTTCTCACTCCAAGCCAGCTCTATGCCTGGTGCCTAGTATGCCACTATTTCTTGAGATAAAGAATGAGTACACCTAAGTAGAAAATGGGAGAAATGAGTTCTGTGAGCCATCATTGTTTTGGGGATTAGGTATGCCTGGTGGCTATCACTTGGTAATCTGCAGACAGAAGTCAGGAGTCAGACTGTTTGTATTTGAATCCTGCGTCAACTGGTAGATGTGGGCCTACAGACTTCTCACACGTTGGGCACCAAAGATGAAGTTGTACTCTTTCTCCTCCAATTCTTCCTCAAAGTACTACTACAGCATATGACTACTACTTCTACTTCCTCTTCTTCTGACTCTGTTACTGTTTTTTTTCTGGGTTGGAATGGAGATTCCAACTCTCCGTGCACTTGCTGGATGTCCCAGTTGCAAACTTTAGTAACCCATTCAGGCACAAATGTGATCCATTTGAAAAAATTATGACTGGGACTTCTAGTATGTTTTTCTTAGGAAGAGTCTGAGTGCAGGTTACTCTCCTTAAATAGGTTCTTTTTTAGTGTTTTTACAAAAAGAATCTGTCTAAAATAGATTTTGATTCAGTAAACTGCCTTAAAAGACAACTATTGGAAAGGGAGCTGAGTTTGTACTGAATAAAATTTAATTGGAATTGTGTTTACTCCTTGAGTCAATATTTAGCTTAGGCTCATTAAAAATGCCTCATTTGTATGTAAGGCTTCAAACCAAACAAGGAGGAAGGAACAACAAAGCCATAATCAATAAAAGCTTGAACATCCAGACTGTGCTGGGATTGAGAAACATCTGTGGTTTACCCATAACTTGTTTCCATTCTACCTTATCCTGTTGAGATTGCTGAAACATCTATGGTTTACTTATAAATTGTTTCCATTCTACCTTATTCTATTTAGATTGCTCTTTATTATTATTATTATTTTTTTTTGTTTTTTCAAACTATGTTTTTTTTAAATTTTTTAAATTTTATTTTTTATAAACATATAATATATTTTTATCCCCAGGGGTTATTATTATTTTTTTTAAAGTAGGCTCCATACCCAACGTGGATCCTAGTGTGGGGCTTGAACTCACAATCCCAAGATCAAGGTCTGAGCTGAGATAAAGAGACACTTAACCCACTGAGTCACCAAGGCACTCCTCTACTTATATTTCTTTATGGCTATTTGTAATACTCTGTTCCAGAAGTAAGTAGGGAAAAAAATTAATCTGAAATGAATTGTGTTAATACTTGCTACTTTGATCAACTCCAGAGAGGTTGGGGTTGAGTATGAACTCTAAGTGAAGTAAGGATGTAGGAAATCTTTAATCTTAGATAATTCTTTAAAATATAAATCCAAGAATTCTTTATATTCTTGGAAAAATAAGTAGTGTTAAAACACAGAACACCCAGTTACATTTGAATTTCAGGTAAATAATGAAGAGTTTTCAGTATAGGTATATCCCATGCAATATTTGAGATGTACTTAAAAAATTATTTGTTGTTTATCTGAAATACAAATGTAACTGGAGGTTCTATATTTTATTTGGAAACTCTAGGTAGGTAAGAAGATGCTAGCTAAATCTAACTTCAAAATAGAAAAACTCTGGAAGCTTAAGGAGTGAGATTAGAAAGATGACTGAACCAGAAAGCCCTTCAGAATTCCACACAAACTGAGTGAACTCCCTCCAGATTCTTTTCCACTGGTTTGTGGGCAAATGTGTACTGTTTGCACTTCCCAGTTATTAGCATCTTTGTATGCTCTACTTCTAGGCCTTGAGAGTTACTCAGCTTGTTTTGTGGAGATGGCCCTACTTCATGAGTGACTATGGGTAAGGAAATCACACATAAAGATTTTCAGTATGAAAAGCAGTGAATAAACAGAAATTGGTATAAGTCCAGTGTGTTAGGTGAGACTTCTATGTATGCTTGGCCCTGATCTATCCTTATTAGTGTTGAGGGATTTAGGGGCAGGGAGAGATAGTGGGCACATGTGGGTCTCTTCATACTGTGTTTCATGAGAAGCTTACTTCATTGTGCTACAGCATATCACAATATAGCGTATTCTTCAATATCCAGTTTACTCAAATAAAACAAGAAAGAAAAGGATTTTAGTGCCAAAGAAGGAGTCTTTGAGCTCCCAGTATCAATGAAGAAAGGAAAAAACAGCAGGTAAGCTGCTGTAGCTAACATGTTAGGAATTCTGATTGACTGGTAAGGTCCCTAAAGGGGAAGGGATACCCTTGCCTCTGACACTGTGAGAACCACAAGGAGACCTCCTTCTCTGAACAGGGGGCTGCTTTTGCTTTGTCAGTGTTCCTAGGACCTGGGGCAGTTTCCTTTTTTTCTGTGAAGCAAACACAACCTGCCTCTGTTCCCAGCAAGTGGAGAGTGAGGGGGGTGTACTCTCCCTGCCTTTCCCTCCTACTCATTTGAAAACAAACACACAGGCTCTTTCTCTTTTCAAGCTTTTAAAAAAATTTTTTAATTAAAAAAAACTTTTTTATATCTTTTCAGCGTAACA